GTCTCTGTTTTTTAATATGCTGTCTAGGTTTGCCATAGCTTTCCTCCCAAGGAGCAAGCATCTTTTAATTTCATGGCGGCAGTCTCCATCTGAGCAAAATGTTGCAGTGGTGGAGTGGCCTCCTCAGGGAACCAACGGGTCGATCCAATGAATGCGGCATTAAACAGAGTCACCCTCTGGGGGAGATGGGGGGGCATATAAATTTAATAATAAATAAATAAACAGTTTAAGTAGTTTTATGGGGCTCCACGATTTGGGGAAGACGCTGCAGCATTAGATGGGAATGAACGGTCTTATTTTCATCAGTTGAGTCTGTAGGAGATGATTTTAGTTTTTGGTGGTGTTCTCCAATGCACGGGGCGGGTCAAAATGTACAAGATCCAAGCCCCACCCTTTTTGTATGTGCATGGATTATACAGTCGTGGCTGTCATCTTGACTTTTTTGACTCCCCTGGGGACACCCCTGAAGGAGGGCGTCCTGGGAGAGGGGGTCCCAAAGTCCAAGATGGGTCCTTTGACCATGAGACTGAAGCCCTGATGTATGTGTGCTGTGCGTAAAAAGGGGCAGAGCCTTAATCTCATGCTCACAGCTGCTATTGTGACATTTTTGAGCTAAAGATGCCCCGTTAAGAATGGAATTGAAAATAGAACTGTGAATATAATAATGTCTTTTTTTTTTTTCCTCCAAATCTGCAGTGTGCCCACCCTGGAGATGTCTATGCCGTTCTGGTCGCTGTATCTTAAAAAGAATATTTAGAGGTAGGAAAAGTGCAAAAAACAGCGGTCAAACGGATAAGGCAGCAGGAAAAAGTTCCCCAACCAAGAAGGATGACAGCGTTGGGTGATTTAACTTGCAATGAAGAAAATAAGAGATGTGATAGCTCTCTATAGCAGTGTTTCTCAACCTTGACAACTTTAAGAGGTGTGGACTTCAATTCCCAGAATTCCCCAGCCAGCATGGGGACTTCAATTCTGGGAGCTGAAGTCCACACATCTTAAAGTTGCTGAGGTTGAGAAACACTGCTCTATAAGATTATGCACGGAGGGAGCTCCCGTCAGGAGGCAGTGTTTTGCACGCTGGGCACAACTAAACTGTGGAATTGTGCTGGTGTGGATGGCGGCCGGTGGGATGGTCTTAAAAGGGGAGGGGGCAGGCTCTGAACTACTAATATCGGAGGCTTCTTGAACACCCGGCAACAGGGCTGAAATGCTGTTGGCTGAAAAGCAACTGCGGGAAGTTGCCGATGAGAATTTGGGTCTCGTGAACTTTCCAGGTGCGCTCACGTTGGCCACTCTGGGTCAACTTGATGGGCCTAGTCCTTACGCTCTTTCTTCTCCCGATCTTATGAAGACCCTCCTTGGCTTCAGGGGGCAATGCTTAAAGTCGGCACAGCCAGGACCAGCACGAAAAGAACACGTGAATCGAATGGAACGTGAACTTTAAAAGGCGTCAGACTCGCTCGACTTCATCTGATACCCACTCCCTGTTAAATCATTTCCCCCTTCCGTATTAAGCATTCCAATTTGCTGGAAACTTTGGGAGGTGCTTTGAGGACAGGGTCCAAGGGGCCCAGGACAGGAGCCCATGGAAACCTGAGCCTTTTCGTCGGTGCAACTCTTCTTGAAAGACAAAGACAGTTATTCTCGTGGCTGACGCTTTTGTGGATCAGAGGCCTCACCCCTCATCAGGGCAAATTGCGCACGGGTGCTTGTCGGATGCCAAGCAGCAATTTAGACCGGAACCCTGAACGTTTCCATCAAAGGCCGGCCTTGCCCACGCCTGAATCGTTTGTTCTGTGCACTGTTTTTTTTCTGGCTCAAGCTGCCTGACGGGAGCTGCATCCATTTTCTAATTCGTTGGCTTAGTGAGTGTTTATTTAGCAAAGGTCTTATGCAAACGGCACACAGACTGCTTTCTCACCTTCCGCAGGAACAATGCTTTCAGGTGCAGCCCCAGGAGATGCAGGCTGCCAGTGCATGTTTGTTGAAGCAACAGCCTCCCCTGACTCAAAGGCCATGGGTCTTTCCCCACAACCAGATGAAAGTCTTCTTGACCTCTTCGGCAGAAAACAAGACTGCATGAAAGCCATGGCCCCTCTGCCAGGCCTTACCTTGCCTTTATTACCCCTGTACCCAGTTCCCAGTTCCCAGCTGGCTTCCCTCCAGGATAAGGGGCGATAAAGATTTCACACACCTTGAGACTGCCCTTGGATGGTGCTGGAATAAGGGAGAAAACACACCTTTAACAGCAGGACAGCTGAGGATGACTTACGCCAGTCCTGCTCCCGGGCTGGGGATGAGACGAAGGCCACGTTATGGGAATGTGGCAGCAAAAAAGAAGTTGTCAGTGCATGTGTGGGTTGTTGATAGGTGCAGTGATGTAATGGTATGGGGGAATGACCTTGGGAGACAGGAGGAAGAGCTGCAGACTAGGCAGTGGGCAGATAAGAGGTAGCTGAGCCCACAGAAGGAATGGAGGTGTGGAAAGCATCTCAGAAGGGACCCTCCCTAGTTTCTTGGACTGTAAAGGTGACGGGGGAGAAATGGACTTTCAGACTTGCAAGATTCTGTTAATGGAACCTTACAATAAAGTAGAATTAGTTCATCTGGGTGTAGTTACTGTCTGGACGACTTTGCAAGGCTGACAAGTGGGGAAAGACCGCTAGTGCCCCCTGTTCATCCTTGAGTCAACAGATACTGGTGTGAATATGTCATCCAGATTACTGGCCCCTCTCCTGTCTCTGTTGCCCCTTTCTCCGTCCCGGTCAGTCCCCTCTCTTCCCTCCAGGATATCATGGCACAAAGTCTAAGGGGCTGAGGGTGAGATTAATGCAACACCATGTTAAAGTTTTCTTTGGGAATTGCCACCATTCAGACTGCTGATCACGTACAGTGCTGTTTGAGAACTCATTCTTCAGAAGCACTCTTAATGTGCTTTTTCGTTTCCTTGTTGCAGTCGAGAGAACCACATATGGATGTAGACAACGAACCGATCACCAGGTGATTAGCAGCAATGCAACATTATTCAAGAAGAAAAGAGCGAAACGCACATGCTTTTGTAGAGAGGCCTATTACAATCCAAGCTGTAACCCCAATATTAACAATTCATTAAACCTATCTCAACCAAACCACGAGAGTGCTAATTATTTTCTATTAAATCAACTACTCCCAAAGAAATAGGAAACAGCCAGGGTGGTGTCAGACTGGAAGCCCTAAATTCAGGCCCCCATCAGCCGTGGATGCTCACAGGGTGTCTTTGGGCCAGGCGTTGCCCCTCAGCCTACCTACCATGCAGGGTTGTTGTAAGGAAATATTGGGGGATTAAGGGCTGTGTATGCTGCTTTTTGCAGCTGGAAGAAAAGCAAGAGTTTGATCAAACAAGTTAATGAATAAATATGAAAGTTCTTGACTGAAATTCTTCCAAAGTGTAATCAATACCATTCCAATGAAAGATGTATGAAAGGCTATGTCAGTGTTTCTCTTTAAGAGGTGTGGACTTCAACTCCCAGAATTCCCCAGCCAGCAGAATTCTGGGAGTTGAAGTCCACACCTCTTAAAGTTGCCGAGGTTGAGAAACACTGGTATAGAGGAAACATTGTAATAGTAATAGTAAAGAGCATATGTGGGCTTCAACTCTCAGAATTTTGGGAGTTGAAGTCCAGGCATGCTGGCTGGAGAATTCTGGGAGTTGAAGTCCACAACTCTTAAAGCTGCCGAGGTTGAGAAACACTGGGCTAAGGGTTAGTCTTTCTTGCCAACCAGCTTTAACAACTTCATACGAAGGATATACATTAAAAACAATAGCAATCTCGATCTGAACTGCTCTCTGGGTTGACTCCTTTGGGTGCGAAGGGGTTATAAACTGACCCAGGTAAAGATGACCCTGTGGAGTCCTTGGGTTGTCTGAGCTTGGTTGTTTTCTTGCAAATGTTTTGTTACCCAGCTAGGTCACATCTTGTCAGGCCTAGCCCAAGGAACTCCAAGAGACAATACCAATTCAGTCCAGCTATGT